TATTAGGCATATCATCAATTTGAATCCCTTGGTAAGGTATGAGGGAGAGGATAGGAGGGAATGGTTTATCGGAAATCCCGTAAGAGGCAATATTTTGAGGTACCGTCGTAAATATTTGGGTTTACACGAAGAGGTAATTCTGGTTTATGGACCACGTCTCTTCACTGTGACGCCTAGCAAATCAGTTACCAAAAGCAAAACGATGCAGTCATTGCACAAACTCTCCATTCCCATCAGAGAAGGATGACGGAGAGAGCAGAGGGAGGGGGGCGGAGGCACAGGAGAAGGAGATGGTCATGGTAACCCATCAGATGACTTGTATTGAATTGGCCTTTGGATCGCTGAATATGCAGTGACTGCCTTAACTCCAACCTTCATTCGTAATACAGTCAATTCCTTGAAGCTGTGGGACTGTCACTGGAATCATAACATGCTTTATGCAGAGTCGCCTACACATGGCCACCTTGTAGACCCTTTTGCTGCATAGGTTGTCAAGTTGGGCACAAAGACCGATTCTTGATTTTCCACCTCACTTCCTTTCATCGATATATAATTGTCATTTTGCACCACATATATATAAGCATGAGAATTGAAGCTGGATTTTAGGTTTTAAGGCCTTCGTAAAAATTGAACCTATTAAATATTTCTTGCGACAGCTGTAAATCGGCGGCAAAAGTGCAGTGCCATGGTGGGGGGTGTAGCAGCGAAGAAGCTCTTAAGTTGCAAATGAATAGAGTGTATGAAGGAAACAGAGAGAGGATGAGGAAGAAAAGGGCCAATTACCCTCAAGTTTACCATTAGCAGGGCAATGTTAATAGTAAAATTTAAGTGATCGCTACACTTTCCACTAAAGTGGAAGGTTTGTATTTAAGTGAACGTGGCTGTGCAAGCGTTTAAAAGCACTTTGCGCAGGTAGATAATTTCTTCCAAGCTTTGAACATTCCACTTTTGACACATTATTTTAGCTCATGAACTATTCTAAAAGTTGTAAAAAGCGATTGTAATGACATGAGGAAGGAAATGCGATGTCAAGTCAATGCGTTGAAAACGCTCCTGGTGTATGAAAATTATGCCCACTTTTGAAGCCAACCTTCTGGCATGCATACATATCTGATGTCAGCATGTTAGTAAGGAAGAAATCCTGTAGTGGTGTCCCAAAAGCGATCCGTTTGCACTTTCACCGCTGGAACGTCGCAAAACAACTTTTCCACCCTTCCAGCTCTCACATAGGAATCTTGAAATCAATTTACCTTTGGCATGTTTATCACTTCTCACTGGCACAAGGCAAATTATACCCTTGCACACATCGTCCGGTAAGTGAGTCTGTGGCATCCAAACGTTAGTAGTTAGATAACTTCTCCAATTTGCCTGCAAAGCGAAGTTGTTCTATTGTTCACTTATCGTGTCTTGCTTGCTTGCTCATGTGCTTTTACGTAGTAATTCTACGCTGAATCGTTAAGCTCCCAACAATGCAACCCAGCGGGTTATGATTTGATCCCATTGCTAATCTGTAGACTAAGCTCTCACTTGGAATTCCAAAAAGGGCACTCCATTGTTGCCCTTTGCTTGGTCAACTTTTGCGTCTGTGACAAAAATTTGTGGCTCTAAGTCGACCTCGATGCACTCTGCTCCTTAAAAGATTCTTTGGTTATTGAATTGCTTCAAAGATTACATTATAAGATAGGTAATGTTAATGGAATGTAGTGTTGGTAATCTGCACCAGGCAAAAGGTGAAAACTAGATCCTGGTAGAACTCAAAATGATATATGTGCCTCAAAATCTTGCTGTGATGCCCCATCCCGGCAATTGGACCAGCATCAACGCTTGAAAGTGGCATTAATTTGGAGCAAAACCAATTGAAACATAAAGCTTAAAAAAGGGCGAAAAGCTCGGTCGGGCCTGGGAACATGTGTTATGCTTGTCCCAGCACCAAAGGGGCGTTGGAGTATTCAAATGGTTGTGATGTCCAAAATCCACAAAATTTGAACCTTTGTGCACGACTGCATATACACACGCGCCTGTGGACAAGGTGATACGTGCGCGCGTATATGCGCTTGTCCCTGCACATCCTTTCAGGCACGTACGCACGCGGTCAAGGAGTTTGTGTTTTGTCTGTTTCACCGCTGTCGGTGTGTACAGCCTCTCATCGATTTCTGATAATCACAACAGCTGCGCCGCGTCATTTGGGGAGGAGGAGACGTCTTCTTTGCCAGCAGTTGCTGCGCAGCCCAAGCACACAAGCGCTTAAAGTTGGAAAAACAATTGATGCGGCCGCACACGCTTTTGGTGCGCGCAAATAAACGATTGGGTGATGATGGCACTCTTGCATTTGCTGTGTACCACGCGGACCAATGAAAATGCTAGTATAATAGTGCGCGCTGATCGACTGCCACTTCTGGTCAGATTGAATAACGGACAGCAGTTGTCGCAATTACTGCTGCCTGAACAGCCGCAAGAGTAGAAAAGCAGTCTATTTTTTGTGAAAAACGTACATATTACACTGGAACAGTAAAGAGGAGGACGGTAACGATACACACACGCGCACACACCGCGAACAGGCGCATCCCAGAACAACAGTTGATGCGACAACAGCCGCTAACAATTGTCGTCGTTTAAAGTAGTCTTGCGTGATCACCTCAGTCATCAGTCTTGTGAGGGAGAAGAAGAGGAGGAGGAGGAGGAGGAGGAGGAAGAAGAAGGAGAAGAAACACTTACTCTTGTTACCCGTCTGCTGGTCGCGCACCTCCCTACCCCCACACGCACCCACCACCACCAACAGGCACTTATAGCAAAAGGCAAACAGATGTTGGGAAGCAGCAGCGATTATGCCGGTGAGGTTGTAACGACAGCAACTCCGAGTGTACCTCAACCTTCAAAACTTCAGGACGCAGATAGCAATGGTCCCGGTGGACGTGAAAATGTATACCCCTACTCTGAGTATCCCAACCTTATGGGTTATGACAGTAGTGTTAGTCAAGGTCGCCCTTTTCTGAATGATACGCATCCAGGACCTCTGCAGACTCTTGTTAGCCAGTTGGTGGCCAAGAGCGAACTTAGCTCAAACGAGACAAATTACGACCATCTTTTGTATTCAGCCTCGTCTACAGTGGCTGCGGCAGCCTATTCACCCTTCTACGGCAATCAGTCGACGGCAATGTCCACGTCCTTCGAGAACTTCTATCCACACAGCTATACAGCATATATGTCTGATCACTTAAATAATTCCACTGATATAAATGGATTTCCGTATTCCTCCGCCTACGCAAGCAATAGAGTGTACGAGACGAATGATTATGGTTCGGCGACGTCTAACTCTTATCAAAATCAGCACCCCTCCACGACAAATGCCAACAAAACGGCGCCCACCACAAGCGCCATCGATTCCTCATCCACGTCGTCAGTCACTTCAACGTGCTCTGCAATGGACTCAGCCTTTAATACTACAGGATTTTACATAAAACCCGAGGAGGGTGGAAAAGTAGGAGGGTTTTTTACCATTCCCAATAATGCTTCTGTTGCCATTACTGCTACCACTACTTGCAACTCCAACAGTAGCATAGATAAGGAGCAGAGGAAGAGAATAGTGGAGTCTCGAAGAAACGGTGCAGATATAAGGAAGAAAATGCGAACACATCAGCAGGCTAAGAAGGCGGAGAGTTCCCCTTGTGTCACCGAGAAGGACGCAAAAACGAGCCTTGTTGTTAGAGAGGATCACAGTCCTCTATCAGTAGGAGGTGATTCCGGGGACGATTCGACTTCTAGTGACGAGGACGAGCATGGAAGCGGGAATAAGGTGAGTCAAAGTTATTAAAGTCATTTTTCTGCCTTTGCCTTAAACTTTTGAATTCAACTAAATTCTACTTTCCCTTTTCGCAACTCACAGTGTCCAGCCTATTAAGGGATAATGTCTATGGCACGGAATGAGCAGTTAATTTACAGTTCATAGATAGAGTAATTACTGTCATTGCGGTTTGAGATGATGAGAGGTCACTAACTGATAAAATTTCCGTAACTCGACACGCCTTTTGAACTTGTTGATAAATTTGTTTACAGGTTTTGGTACTGATAATTTTTGTGCTAAACCGATTGTTATTTCTCTCAATTTTTATTTCCTTCATTGTCAAATGAGGTCTGTAAACTCAGGACACTAATGTTTCCTGCATTTTATTGCATAACTTAAGCTAACCTGAATCTGAATCATTCAGTCTACTTTCAGTGAATGAAGCCACAACCGACCCACTGTCACTTCATTATAAATCGGATTTGGACTGGCTGTGAACTTGCTCATGCGGAGGACGTTGGGTTTGGTAGTCAAATCACGACCTTAGCGTCATATCTGCGCCTTCATGCGTGAACCGATGGAATGAGAAATGCGGAGTGGAGGGGTGGAAGGGACCATATGCAACATTGATCACGGATGGGTTAGTAGATCCATTTTAGCTAAGTGAAATCAGATAAATATTCCACGTGAACTGGTACGCCATCCATCCTGTGGCACACAAATTATTTTAAGATCTGAGGGCTCATTTTTTGCTCCAGTACAGATTACGGTCCACCTCTCCCGCCTAAAATAAAGTGAAGTTTATTAACATTTAAGATATTCTATCTAGTAGATGAAACAACTCACCTTAGTGTTTAACTCCGAACAACTCCAAGGTACCGATAAAGAGTGGTCAACAGGGAGAAAAAATTCTGCCTGACCCATATGGTACCGCAACTGCAATTACCTTAAATAGCATGCGTGAGTAGCAGACCGGTGCCCTCGCAGCTAAAATAGCGTCATTAACTGCCAAACGCATCGGTAACAAGTATAAGCAAACTAGAGGATGATCACACTTCATATGCAAGCAAACACGATTTTTTGCCGTCTGTAAATTTGCCTTACAAAAAAATTCATGTGCCACACATTCCGTTGTGCCTGTTAGCTTTTATGCAACGGAGGTATAAAATTGTCCTTGATGTAATGCTTTCGAAATGGGTGAAGTTGGACAGTTAATGCTCTCTACTTGATGTTAAATGAACTGTCAAAATTTGTCATTTTCGATTCTAAATGTTTCAGGACACGTATGGTGGCCTGCGTTTTGAGTATGGCGTAGTTTTAATGACACCTTTTATGGCATAAATTGATATACAGCTGATGCTGCCCATCTCTAATAAAGATGCATCAACATCATTCATAATACTAGACTGGGAAACTAATTCAAGTCACTAATTATGGGAACGAACATCAATACCCATCAAACAGTCATCGAATTTGCATTATTAGCTCCCACCGAGACTTGGATGGCATCAGTCAAATAAGCTCTGTGCGCTCTCCTTCTTAATTACAGTGACGTGCATTAGCACTGCCTCCTGATCAGGACTAACTGACCTCTCTTCAGCTTAAAGTTAATTAAATTTATTTTTTTTTTTGGCACACTCAATGAGTCAATAAACGGCACCTGCAAATGTGCTAAGCAAGAAGTGCGATAGAAGAGCACTTTGAACTGGGCATTTCATACGGACTTATAGACATCGAATTTGACAGGCAGCACAAATGGAAGGTACGGGAAGAAGTTCTGTTTGTGCCTTTTCATTCGGTTGATAATAAACCCTAGTTAGATCAACAAAGGACGTTGACGAAACCTAATAATAAAAGATGTGAAATTGTGCGTGACATTTCTACTTTGCAGGGTATCAAAATTTAAAATGCAGTATCCCAGTGGTTCCTTTAATTGATTTCTTTAGGCTCATAGGTGCGTTTTATATGCGCGGATGCAAAAAGGGTGACTTTGACATAGATGCTTATGACTAACATCCTCTCAGTGCTAAACCTTACTCATCCAAACCTTCTCGACAAGAAGGCGTCAGCTGTTCACCACGATCGAGGTAGTGGGGGTTAGCGTCGGAGACGAGGCAGGTCTTGGGGAAATCCTCTCTCCCCTCAAGCTAAAAGGGAAAAGGAGGGAGCAAGAGAGAGCGGGGGAAGGGACGCGAGAGAGGCACGAACATCCCAAGGTAACAGCTGACGCCTAAGCATCACATCCCCCACGGGTACGCTAGCCCGGGCGTGCCTTCTAGAGAGGGTAATTAAGCAGTAACAGTAGAAGCGATAGCAGCAAGTATGGAAGGGGGTGAAGGAAGTGTAGGTCGAAACAACTGTTGTGGTGTCGGAGTCACGATTTCCCGGGGTGGAGGTGAAGAAAGTTGGCAATAAAATATGGAAAATGGTTACCACCGTAGAAAGAGCTTTGGAAAGGGGTAATTTAAAGGGCCACCTCTCGCTATTCTACCATTTTCATGTCTCTAGGGTCTCTCTAAATCCAGCTTTGAGAGGCCATATGCGTATGAATGGTTATGGGATGTGATTAAAGGGTCATTATACGTTTTCGAAGCTTAAATTTAAATTAACTGGTAATTAGCGCTTAGTAATGCATCGACATTATGCGAAGGTAGTCGAGCTTTTTAGCTGCACGCATGGACATGACATCCCGCCTTGCTGCAAGGGCTCTGAATCAAAGAATATTTCATTGACTTTTAATTCAGAATTACAGCTGTCTATCCAAAAGTTAACATCTCTGTCAAGGAAGAAAAAAATATGTAACCATTGTTTAATTATTAATCAAGTCTGGCAAGTGAATAATCGCTCTCTCTTTTCCTTAGGAGGAGCATATAATAGCGCCAGGATCTCACGGCCAGTGCCTTCTGTGGGCATGCAAGGCATGTAAGAAGAAGACAATGCAAGTCGACCGTCGAAAGGCAGCAACAATGCGAGAGCGCCGACGTCTGCGCAAAGTCAATGAGGCTTTCGAGACATTGAAACGGCGCACCTGCTCCAATCCAAACCAGCGTATGCCCAAAGTGGAGATTCTACGCACGGCCATTGATTACATTGAAAACCTAGAAGAGATGCTCCATCGCAATGGAGTTCTTTTGGGATCTTCTGCCTCTTCCTCCTCCACTGCAGGCACACTTCTCCGCTCATCCAATCGCTATTCCACCGGTACTGCTACCAGCAATACCGTAGTAAACAACAAGATAACCTCCGTAGAAAATGGCAGAATTCAACGAGCAGGGAGTGGTAACAGGGGTCGAAAGGCGGGGACACTTACAAAGAGCGACAAAGTAGGGAATAACCGAGCTGACTACACGACCTTACCTGCCACTTCGGCTGCAAACACTGGTCAGACTCCCTTTATGAAAATGGAGACCTCACAAGCTATGGTGAGTTCCCTTCTCTTGTATCAGGATTAAAGATGGAAATTGTGAGGTAATTGTTGAACAGAGAGACTGAGATGAAGATTTTCAAGACAACTGAGAAAAGGTGCGACAATAATTTGCATCTTAGTCATCATTCATCAGCTATTAGAGTGAAGTTGATCAGCCGAGTAATTGGGAGAGGGGGTTGATGTGCACAATTTCTCTACCCCGATGGGATCATGATGGACGGTAGGGCAGGTGAATGAGTGGGAGAGACAGGGAGGAAGGGGGTGCCGAATATAAAGTGCGTACGCCTATGGGTTCCAAAACCAGTGGATCCGCGCTGGGCGGAACCAACTTTGTGGTAAGGGGAGGTAACAAAAATCAGTGGGTCTTTGATGAATATGGCAGGTGGTACAATTGTGTCTGCTAGCTCTTTTCCTCCATCCCCCATTATACCATCCGCCTGTGAGTGTATTCACGCGCATCCGGGCATACTTACACATGTCGGCGCATGGGATAAGAATAGCAAAGGTGGTCCAACCCACACTCGATTTGTCATAGCTGTCGTCCGGCTAATTAACCGATCCTCTCAAGGTCTAGGCGGTGGGAGGGAGTCTAGGGGTGGGACAGGGTGGAGATGTGGGCATCCCAGTAGAACACATAAACGTACATTTTTGTGGTAACCACAAATTCCTTTACTGTTACCTTAGCCAGTGCTTAATATTGTACTACTTGAGCAATCCTGATTCCAAGTATAAATTACCGAAGCATCGCATCATCAACTCAAGCTGTTTGCTCATGCGATGGTAGGACTTTATCTTGTGCCGATTCCATTTGTTAAATAGTCGAATTTGCTATCCAGTACCCAATATTTGGACAATAGCTTCATCTCATCCGCTCGGCCATCGCACATTAAGTGAGAGTTTGTGCATTGTGCATACAAAAAATGCGGAACTTATGGCACTGTTCCTTGTAATTTTCTGTTGATGCAAATGCACATACCATGAATTTGTGTTTTGCCTACTTACGACTCCAAAATAGTGGAGCTTTTCTGACTCACTTACCGCTAGAACTAATGCCCTCTTAACTTTTTGTATTATTACTTGGTTGAGAATTGCGTCCATGCTTATGCTTAGTAAACGCGACCTGTTTCACTGAAAATGCACAACGCCAAAGGTTTGATACTGCATTTCATTACACCAGAAAAGAACCAATTTTGTTTTTTATTCCTACAAACACCACAGCTGGCGCTGCTTCCTTTTGCCATACTTGATCTTCAGCACACAAGATGCCTTCTGTCCAGACGTGCCGACTGACTACCGCAGCCAGGGATGCCACCACCACCGCATCTAGCCACCCTCTCCCTAAGTGTGTGCGAAATCACGACTGCGCATACCCACACGCACATGCATACAAGCTTATGAGAGACACAGGGCAGACAAGAGGTGCACCCCTTCACTACTCTAAACTGTAGACAAATGGCCAGCATGGATGTTCGGCCTGATGCCCTTTCTATCTATCCTCCCCTAGCCTCGCTTCTCTCCCCCTAATTGTGCAGCCATTCGGAGAAAACGCCATAAACAGACATACGGAGGCGCGAGAGTGTGGCACTTTGTGCCACGTACACAGATCCACCGTAATTAGTAGTGAACTCCACGGTGGAATCTGTTTTGTATGACGTTAAAAACTCTTTGGCCAATTTCCACAGGCTCTGAGCTTCATTGCACTTAAACAAAAAAATTTAATGTAAGTTTGAAATAACCTGCGCTCTTTCTACTGAATAGCATAAAGAGAGTAACGATGTAGAGTTAATTATGTAACCGTTAGCACCATTTCACGAAAAGGTAACAGTTTTCGCTTACAAAAGCAAAGTGAGGAAAATAGAGTTGAGGAAACTGCAAATCTCACAAGATAAGCTTGTAAACTTGACTCAATTTATTGACAACAAACGAAACATTGTACAAACTTGAAACTTGGACCGCGCTTGCCCCTGAAGTTGGGAGCCCGTTTAGTGCAACTGACTTATGCTGCTTGAAATGAAGAGGCCATTTTAGTTGCTTATTATAGTTGGGTAGAGTGTGGATCGCCTAAAGTACAAAATTTCGGCTCTTCATTATCCTTTGACTTGTATGGCTGTTGACAGTCGCTTTTGAACCCCGAGGCGGCGTGGGTGGAACACATGTCCTTCCTACTACCGCGCAAGCCATAAGGGCGACAGAAGCGAATGTGGGCCACTGTAAAACAAAAAGGAAGGCAGAAGAAAATGAAAAAATAAGCGTAATTTATCTTCGACTTCCGAATTCAGAAAAATTTGTCAAAATTATCAACTTAAAACTACTGACTGAGGGTAAAAGGAAGGACTTGCCGCAAAGTTGAAAACTACTAACCTATTCTCATTTCTTTCCTTATAGTCAACGGAGGACGAGCCTTCTTACAGGGGGTACATAACAAGTTTGGCCAACAACGGATGGTCGGCCTCACTTCCTGTCCACGATCCCAATCCCGTCGGTGGTAGGTCTCTTTTACGCCTTTTTCCAACATTCACAATATTCTGATGCCCGTTCAAAGCCATAAGGCTTTTGGGTGTATTTGGCACTCCGCAATGATTTAACAATATACTAAAAGGACAGATTTTAGTAAACGTTTGGACACACATGCTTATCTCGGCAATACCACTCATGCGATTAATTAGAATAATTTTAATTACGTATTAAGTGAGGTTTTGAGTTGACACATGATAGTCCAATAATTTCTTCGAAGGAGAATTCTTGATTAACTTGGGGAAAGCAAAGGAGGCAATCTTTTAATTTTCTTCCAAAGTTATTACAGCATAGCGCAGAATATTTTGGGCTCAAAAACTCTGAGGTTGTAGAAAGACCGCAGCAATTTCCCATTCGTAAGTGCGCATTCGGAAGTATGCGAGGAGAATGTATGTATAAATTCAGTGTCAAAATGGTCATTATACTTGAGAGGAAGGGGAAAAATCATGCATGTACAAACATATCACATCACACTTCTAATTTGCCGGGTCCTCTTCCTCCATCTAGCTGCTAGCGTGCCCGCTGTCTCCCCTCACCCACCCTGGAGACATATGACACCCTCTCTGAGCGGAGCTGAAACGCCCACATCTGCGGTGCCTGAAAAAGCACTTTGCTGATGGGTTAATTTTTAGTCCTCCCTCCCTCTTTTTTCTCCCTCATGCCCGTGCGTGCCAGCGCGCCAGCGTGCGTACGTACGTGCATGTGTGTGCGTACCTGCGGAGCCCTACCTCAACCCTTGCTGTTCCACATACCACCACGCCAACCTCAATCCCGTCCACATGCACACAGCCACAGTATTATTTGCATTGGCGAATTTGTACTACACGACAACAGTAACAGAAACTCGCACGCGAATCACAGTTTTCTCCAATTTCAGATAATTACTAATGTCGTTCACTGTAAATAAAACACTACCTACCATATGCTGCGCCTTTTTGGAAAGTAGGTATTGGTGAGTTTACATGAGCTACAGTTTTACCCTTAGGCAGTGACAAAATTTACACCGAAAAACCTGAACAATGTGTTTTTAGGAAGGTGCGGTCAAAACATGTTCTTGATCATGTCCGAAGATGGGGTTTTTGAGGCCACGCTGGCATTTCTATCAGAAAACTTGATTATTTAAGCACGAAGGTTGAAATGGAGCGAAAAGGGCACAGTGCGTAAGTTACCAGCTCAGCGATATCAACGTGACTTTTCCGAACTGTACAGAACCAATGTGGTATGAATTGTAAATGATCCTAGCGAGCAGACAGAAAGCAGTAACTAAAATAGGCAGGAGCAAGACTTGAAAAGTTGCTTATTCTACCTTAAAATCTATCCAGTAAGAACGTAAGACGTTTTAACAGTGTATAGAAAGATGAGAGGGACATTTTACTCGACAACTTCAGCCATCTTATGGTATATTACTGGGGCGGATGTGGCAACTTACAGTTTGTGAGCTGCTAAAGTTAATAAGGAGGAAAGATGGAGATGTTTACCGACAAGCCATAACTTAATTTTCAAAAAATTTTGTTGAAAATATTATAAACTCCATCAAGGAGTGGGAAACAACAAGTGCGATACGAATGACCCTCTTCAGCTTAAGAATTGTAGGCGCCAAATGGACACTTAGGAATATAAGAGGAGCGCACATTCCCTCCAGTAGATTTATAATTTTTCAAACGGAAAGATATTCATTCTGTGTTGGTCAGAACTGTGTAAGTCCGTGATGTCTTATGCTGCTTACATTGCAGGTGAAAAATACGCACCAAATTTAATTTTGAGATAATTTTACAGTTATTTGGGCGGACTTTAAATTGCTGCACTTCAGTAAAGCGTTTCGCAATTTAATCCTCGCCTTTATAAGCAAGAGTGGAAATGAGTGGTTTGAATGGACCAAGGTCAAAGGTGACAGGAAAGAAAAGTGCACAGTCGTGGGTTTGGGTAGACTTTTAAGTTGATGTTGCAATTGTTAGTGAACGAAAGAGATTTGAAGAAGGTCTTAATAATTCCTGGACTTTTGCGGTGAACCTAAATTCCATTCTGCAGGATACAAATCCCAAGATTTGAAGAACGGCAGGGAAATTGCAAGACACAAAGTTGACAACTAGTACTAGCAAACGCGGTTTGTAGACATCTGCATGGGATGGCCGCGACAAATGTTACAGGTGGTATTTACTCCATAAATGTGATTCAGCCATTTTTTCAACACATATTTGAAGAGAAATGAATCTGCAAAAAGTATGGGCATCACTTTTGACTTTCTTAAATGTACATTTAAATCAAACGCATAATTTTGGCAAAAAACTATCCACTAATTGTATGCACCTGTACGGAAAAGATGGCGTGCAATGAGAGAAGAATAACTGCCTGCTGAAATGCGCTTTCGCATGCCCTCTGCGTTATGTCATCCAGTGACTGGGACAAAAGAATCACTACAACCTGAGGACTGATTTGCTACCGAAGTCACCGCCTAGATGATAATTGTTGATTTTCATCCACCATGCCTTCGAAAATTGAGCGGAAATGGTGCCACTTTTTCGCTTTATTAGGCTGTTACTGCCTATTTGCATTCAGTGGTTCTAACTGGTACCTTCTTTCTAGTTTCTACATCACGATCTTCATTACTGTTACCAAAAGTAAAGCTCAGAAATGAAAAGTTGAGTAAAACAAGCATTGAGTTAGAGGTACCACTATGAATAGCAGTCGCAGTACATATGAATGGATGATGGGCGTCGTTGTGAGAAGACCATAAAGTTATGCTTCTGGCGACAAGGAATGTGGTAGGAATGTCCCATTCTGCCGCCATGATAAAATATAATTGGCGCGAACACCTTGTAATGCAACCAAAGGCTATCTAGTAAAAAGGGAATGCCACTTGGCAAAAACCAGTCTTCAAGATCATTTAGGAATGTTGCAATAAATGAATTTGAAGGAACTAGAATTGAAAGTCCACCTAAATCTTCACTAAAATCAATCATGGTGTTGAAGCCGATTGACAAACACGGAAACTGCAGTTAGGCGGTAGTGGTTATTCTTATGCGCCTTCGGAGGAGAAACACAGGCGTGCACAAATTTTATGAAGAGAGGATTATCAAGAATATCCGAAGTAAACTTCCCCACTGAGAACACATCTATTCAGTTCTTATTCTCTGCTCTAGGCAAATCAAAATCTGATGCTCCATCTCAGCTAGCCAATTCATTTTGAACGAACTAACATTCAAAATAAAAGGTAGACGCGAAACCCAACCTTTATTACAGCCCAAAAATATCTGCTCTGCAACGCCTAGTGCAGAGAAGCAGCACGAGGATAAGTTGCGTGCTTCATCGATAATTCGATGATAAACAGAAGCGAATTTGTATGCAACTGCGTAGATACAGCGCTGTTCATACGGTTTCTTGAGCACTCCAAGTTTTTATGAAACCCAAAAAAATTTATTAACACACAAGTGTGGATTGCAAAGAAGTATTAATATCATTCACCGATCAACAGTTGGCATTTCTCATTATCGAGTGCAACAGGTTAATGAAAATACTTAAGCCAACACTGCCATGCTACAGGTGGCAACCGAGAAGTAATTATCGAAATGTAAGGAGCAGCGCATTCTGTATGTTTCCTAGACTCACTGAAGCATCCTGCATTATGAAGGGAAATTAGAACGATTACTGTTTTAAAAAAAGTAGAATGATATCCGGGAGGAATTATAACGTCCAAATGCACTACTGAAGCACATCCATGAACACAGCAACCACTACCAGTCCAATGCTACTTATACATTCAGTTCTCAATACTAGTAAACTGATCTGATATCCTCAGCGATCGAGTCCTGCTTGCAACATGGAAGTTATGACTTGGAGAAAACATCATGTTTAGGACGTTACAGGTAGTGTTTGAATGTTTCCACAGAGCCCCAAAGAAAACAGACGCAGCGAAGTATGGAGGTGGAACATAATGCCACAATCCCCACTTACCGAAGAAGGTGGACGAAATTAACAGCCAGAGAGAGGAAGTAAAAATTACACCAAAATCAGCTGATTATTAAAACCTGCCAAAGTTAAGTGGACATTAGAGGCCGAGAAGACAGCTGAAGACGAGTACAAGAGGCGGTACAAAAGGGTAGCACACGCATCTACACTCGCACAACTAATCTTCATGGAAGAAATAGTTCCCAGACCGCTTCTGTTCTACATCCTTCACAGAATTTAGTTTGTTGATGCGTGGACGACAGTTACGAGAATCACGACGGAAGGTGATGTTCAGAGCCTCCAGAAATTTATTCATTCCGGAAACCATGCTCTGTGGACTAAAAGAGAAGTGAAACATTCTTTGTACAAGGAACTCCAAAACTAATTCATCGCAAAAATACGACAGTAACAGGCAAGTATTTAAGTGTTAACTGCGAATTCCGCACCAACCACCTGTTACTAAAAATCACGTAATCATAAACACGAAACAAAGCCTGCAAACGAAATCCACTCAAGAGCTCATTTTTGCTGCTTTAATTCCAACGTCAATCCAGCAGAGAGCTTATTTGAAGGAACCAAGAGAAGCCAGTATTGGGTATGATGTTACTCAAAGTTATGTTAACCTTGATAAAAGAAGACAATCCAATTAATTCAGACTATGAGGTGCTTACTTTGAATGGCAAATGGAACTGACTATTACAGAAGAGGGCTGAACGACGTTAGGAACTAACCTAGTAGCCACAGCATGAACTCCCGGAGTGCCCTCAAATACGACGACACGATCAGCCAGGTAAGTAGCCATAATGAAGTCGTGTTCAACGACAAATGCGGTTTTCTTGGCGTGCATGATGAAACGTTTTATGACCTTTGCGCAGTGCAGACGCTGCTCGGAGTCTAAGTATGCCGAAGGTTCATCTATCAGATACACGTCGGCAGGTTGACCCAAACACAGCGTAATGGCAAGACGCTGCAGCTCACCGCCTGACAGGTTCAGCACCTGTGGCCAAAAATAAACAGATCGTATCAAACTCATAGTCACAAAATATGAGATTAGCTATGATGATTACCAAGTTGCATTAAGGTATATACATGGTAAACGTGTATGACCTCCAAAACCAGCAGAACTTCAACATAAAAGAAATAGCAATTGATTTCAGAAAAGTACTGAATCCCAAACCTGCTCTAACATAGCAAGAACTACGTCCCGTGCCTATTAGTGCCAGTGCAGAGTTATTCTTAAAATGAACTTGAATAAATGACGGTATCACAACTCTTTTCAGAGCATTACTAAACCAAATACGAACGGAATGGAAAGCAATTAAACGAAAACAAAGAGAAAATAATTTAAGCTAAAATAATAGAATAACTTAATTCTGTTCATCGTAAAAAATACTGACATGTTGTCTGATGACTGCATATGACACGAGAACTGCATAGCTTATTCAACTGCATAAAACTCCCAAAACATCGAATAGAAATGTCATTTACGTTGGGAAGTGTATACCAATTTATACTCAAGTAAGGTGACTATGATAGATTTTAAAAGGTTCCACCAATATGTACTTGCCTCTTGATCATACAATCGTTCCATTTGCAGTGGTTTGAGAACGTCCGTGGCAAACTGCGGGTGGGTGAAAGCAGCACGCATCTTTTCGTAGAGCAAATTTTGCACAGTCTTCTCCGACTTTGGACTAATTTTCTGAGGCTTGTAGGAAATGTTCAAAGAAGGCATTTTCGCCCCGTCATCGGGTTTAAGGTTACCGGCAAGCATCCGTATGAATGTGGTTTTCCCAGTGCCATTTTCGCCAAGCATCACAATTATCTCGGAATCTGTGAAAGCGCCAGCCTGAATTTCAAGTTTGAAAGAACCTAAGGTCTTTGTCATCGAAGAATACTCATATCTAGCCGATCGCTTAATTTCCTCCTCATTACCGGTTTCTGAAACCTAAATTTAAAACAAAATGCAACGAAAGCACGATCAGCAAATGAACTAGAAACTATTAAATGAATATAGACCTTAAAAATCAGGGGAGCATCACGAAACCGTAGATTTTCAGTTGGGACCATACCATCAAGGAAAATGTTGATACCCTCACGAACGGAGAAGGGCATGGTGACAACACCGTAGGCTCCGGGGACACCGTAAAGGCAGCATATGAAGTCTGATAGATAATCAAGGACAGAAAGATCGTGTTCAACTGCAACAACGTAGTTTGTTTTCTGTGATCCAAAAGAGTAAGTGAAAGCATATAACCTACTCCAAGCAGATTGCGAATAGTTATAGCGGCATTGAGACGCTGCTTGACATCGAGATAGGAGCTTGGTTCATCGAACATGTAAATATCAGCCTTCTGAACACAAACCATAGCGCAGGCAAACCGCTGGAGTTCACCACCAGACAACTCGCTGACCTGACGGTCTACCAAGCTTTTCAAGTCCAGAACTTCCAGGATTTCGTCCTGATTGCCACGATCATCCTTGCGGTTGAGGAGATTTTTTACGTAGCCTGATACAACCTTTGGAATTTGATCAACGTATTGGGGCTTAGAGACAGCCTTCAAATTATCTTCCAGAATTTTCGTGAAGTAATTTTGAAGTTCAGAGCCGCGGAAATAAGTCAAGATTTCAGTCCAGTCAGGAGGATCCTTTAAACAGATTGCAAGAAATCTTGGAAATAAAATGAAGTATGTAGAACACCGTTTAAAGCAATGATTGGTTGTAAAAACGGGGATTCAAGCGTATAGCTGACAAACCTTGTGACGACCCAGATTTGGTTTTAATTTACCATTAAGAATCTTCAAAGCAGTTGACTTCCCAATTCCATTTGTCCCAACAAGACCAAGAACTTCACCAGGTCGTGGCATAGGAAGCCTATGCAATTTGAAGGAATTAGGTCCAAAGCGGTGTGTTATTTGGCTTTCTAAGTTGCTTGCCAAATTAATAATAGTAATAGCTTGGAATGGACACTTCTTAACGCAAATACCACACCCAATACACAATTCCTCAGAGATAAGCGCCAATTTATCCTGAGGAGTAACTTCAATGCAAAGCTTTCCTATGAAAATAGATATACCTATACCCATTACCCATTCGATTAACCGGACAGGACTTCTTGCATTCCTGCTTACATTTTTTAGGTTTGCATTTATCATTGCTGACGATGGCTATTCGAGTAAGTTTATCCTGTGTAGGAGGCTGAGCCATTCTCAAGCATCATACAAAACGTGCCCTATGACTTGCAATTATGTCGGCTAGGAAGAAGTCGCCCTTGGCTAAGAAGAAGGTCGCTGATAAACCATTAGAATCATAATACGGATACATATTCGAATGCAAAAGGTAAAGCTTATTTAGGCTTAGACCTATATCTTACGAAAATAGTTTGATTAATTAACTTAAAATATAAAATAGGTTTATACTTTTAAGTAATTAGTTTATAACAAATGAATAGAAAGACCTTTCTTATCAGTAATATGAGTTGATGGCTGCAACCGTGCACCGCGATCGATTTGCCTACGCATACATTTCACTCTATGACGCATATGATGGTTTTCTCTGTCTGATCTTCCTAATAAAATGGTTTGGATCCTAAATAGATAGAAAACGGTGTACAAGTGTCACAGATGAAGGCAGTAGCATAGACGAGTACCCTCAACTGATGCGTAAGATAAATGGCCGGCTACGTGCGTATTCCCTTACCTAAGGTGATGGAACGGAAATCTCAAACTAGAAGTACTGGATATCGTAGTAAATTTTTATGCTTAAAGGTAACTTTTCGGATTTGGACGACACATTTAAGCAGCTGCACTCGTAATCTTGGTAACAGCTGGGCTTTGGATAATGCGAGGCATAAGAACTCCCACAATCCCCATAGCAGTGTGTCATATATACTGATCATCATTTTAAAATGTGTTTTTTAGAAACGATGCGATTTTTGGATGTCACATATAAAGATTAAAGTTAGATTTCTGCAATAATTACCTCCAGACAATGCAGTAGATAACATTTGACTTCAGAAGATGACACTGAGACCTCTACTATCGTCATACTGTTTGTATGAGAGACGAAATTTTGAGGTCATATTGGTTCTGTCAGATAGCAATCAATCATAGTATTGTACTACATTAGTGGCGGAGCAAGTTGCGGTATCAGCAAGCAGCAAATGGATGCGTTGCCGTCACAGCTCACAATGCTACTCTAAATCTCGTAAGTAAACCACTACTATACTACCAAACAAGGTAAGGAAATTGCAGCTTGGTGTAGCACAAGTGTACCCACCAAGTTTATGCACCAGGTGTGTAATACTGACTGGGCTACAGACACGCTCTCGACGTGTCCAACTTTCGTGTCTTTTAATTCCCAAACGATTCCCCTCTTAAAGTGCTTCATCCTGGAATACAATGCCTCAAACTCTTATTTCTGCAAATCCACTCCCAAACCTGAGAACTACGCATACATTCTTGCTACCTGTAATTAAGGCTCAATTCTGAAATTTTGCAAACGCCTAATAGTCAAATGGAAAGTAATTTGCAGTTGTCAGAAGTTACTGTTTATTTATTTGCTCCCGATGACTAATATGACCATTGGGTTTCCATATTTTGACGTATCAAATTGCATCAGAGCATGAAGTCGCGCTGTCAGCCTGCGGAGATTAACCAAGTCAAAGCTATTTCTCGGGATGTATCGCACGTAAACAATCAAATTGACCCTGATTGAAGCCGGACAAATGTTCCACAGTTCTAGAAACCCGTACACATAGTATCCTTAAAATCCGCAATTGACAGCATAAACCAGCTATCATGCGATATCAATGGAATTGCTACAAACGTCTTAGCAATTTCACGGTGGACAGTTTGAACCTATAAAATGAACTCTCACTAAGGTTAAAACAGCGCTCAGTAAAGCTGGCGTCTCCAGGGAGAGGACAGGTCCCATGCAACGGAGACAAACAACCAAAGGAAATGCCCACTAGTACAAGTTAACGCGCTAGGAAAAGCCACGGCGGCCACTACCCTGAGTTGACAGATGCATATACACCACAGTCCAACGATCCCCATTAAGCAATAAATTTACCCCAACCCCTAGAATGCCGACTTGCAAGTGGCACTCGCTTTCGCATACACTATCCGAAGTCAAAAGTAGTTTATGCTTAGAATACGCAGTAATAACACAAGGCATTTAAGACTATCACCTAAATGCATGCGCGTGAAACCATATTGGACAATGTTTCTGAACGGGCTCCTAAGGAAACAACACTAGACGACTCAAGGAACGGCGCCTTCTAACCGAATATGTATATATATTTGACGACCTCGCAATCTGGTTGAGATAGTTTGACACTTTCCAAACACTGAAGACAGTTATTCTAGAGCGAAAGTCGCCTTCGAGTGACAGAATCAGCAGCGCGACAGCGAGAACCATCGACCACTCCGACGTGTCCACCAGAACGCTAAAGACCGCCTACGCTACCGGACGCCATCCACGGGCATCAGGTGCCAGCTGTGACCGGACCCTATTTTGATGTACATATTAACATAGATCGACACAAGCCAGGCTTACCCACACAGGACAACCAAGTTGATAAATAATATCGTAAGATCCCGTTAATACTTGAAGCATCAGAAATCTCTAGACGCTAATAACTGTAGTTGGTAACACCAACAAACTATTACTGAAATCAATGAATCACCGAGAGCACAAGTAAACGTGGGCAGTGTGAATAAATCACACCTTCTTTATGATTAAAAAATAATCCCGATAGTCGTTCGCGCACTCATCCTGTAGAAAAAAGCTAGGTGGAAAACCACAAAATGCCCAAATCCACGCTAACAGGAAACTCGAGCTGACAGGGATTGAAAACGGCTCAATGCGAGTCAAGCACCTTTTACAAGCCTCCTTCAATGGCACCCCTCAAACTAGTGGGAGTGATTCATCAATTGCGGCACAATCATGATCAACAGATCTGAGAGCTCATGAAGCAGTCCAAGTAAATAGAAAAAGTTCATAGAGTCAAATGCTCTGAGAGTCATCAATTTTAAATTCCTCGGATATAAAGACTACAACGCCAAGAGCAGCAATAAGAAATCTACAACAACCCTCCACGGAAAACCAGATCATTACAATTAATGTCTAGAAAGCTTGGTATTTGTTCGCCATCGAACTCGGAGACAATGGAATAAACTTGAAAGCCATTTTAGAGTCAGTTGACCTCTACCGCAAGTACAAATGAAGACACCCAGGTAAAAAACTTGAAAGCAACACCACCGTATTACACTGAAGACTACTTGAGATTAAAGTTATAATAGAAAAACTAGCATTCACAGAACGTTTACCTTCAGCACTGTCTTGTACACTTAGCAAATCCATTTTGAGGTAGGAATCACAACTGGAAAGCAAGAAACGAAAGCTCTTGAAAGTCTACAGGGCGAATGGCAGACAGCAGTTAAACGGCTGATCCCACATAATCGAAGAAACGACGAGAAAGGTTTACCATAGGATTGGAAGGCTGACTGATTTTCAAATAGGCAAGAAATATGAAACAAGTAAAAAAACCTAATTGCACGATCAAAAGATAAGTAGACATAGGAGAAATATACGCTCGCCGCGCTTGCGATTGGAAAAGAGCTACGAAAAAAATTAGCGCGCAGCGATGAGAAAACAGCACATTTGTCAGGAGTTCACACACAAAAGCGCGTTGAAGGTCGCAGTCAAACTATATTACTAACAACAATCAGACTAAGTGCTTGAGATAGGAGCTTAAAAGGATACTCAACGTTGACACATGCACCCACAACGGCAATGCAAAACACAGAAAACTAACTTCATCGCTAACATTAGGATTTTTCGAACCGAATCACTATATTTGTAAACAGGAAGGTCAGCTGTTCAATAACTCAGCGATTTTGAGACGGTACTCACAACAGATCTTAAAATCCAAGAGCAAATTTTAAGCGACCACAATTACACACACTGGAAGTTTAACAATGAAATAATCTGAATCAGCTTACCATGAAAAAAGCACGGTCACAAATAATGGAATGCAGTCAGTGTTAAGACGCAGTTGAAATGTAAAGTCGTCAAAAGATAACCAGCGCTAGGTACAACATGCTACGAAGTTGTGATAAATGAAGCGGATCGAATAAATCCAGAAGGGCACAAAATGGGGGACGCATCAGTCTGCCGAGTTACACAGAATGAGGGCCACAATAAGCCCATACAGACCCAAGACTTCTGCAAAAATGAGAATAAGGACCATCCCCACGAAGAGACGAGGCTGCTGCGCTGTCCCACGAACACCTGCATCACCAACGATCCCAATAGCGAATCCAGCCGCCAGGCCACAAAGACCAACGCTGAGACCTCCGCCAAGTTGCTTGAGGGATCTACATTAAGCACATCTAAAAAACCAAATTCCAAAACTACATTGCCATCGACTTGGATCTGTCACTTTGTTGCGAGATGACAACGGACACCACCAAGCCATATATAGCAACTATACCAGCCATGACGACTGGAATGATGGATTTCATTATAAGCTCGGGACGCATGACTCCCATGGAGCAGATACCTGCCCCAGATTTAGCAGTCCCATAAGCTGCACCGAAGGCTAAATAGGAGTTGTTTTACGTGCGATAACAAACCACAAAAGACCATCGATGCTGTAGCACCCATAATGCCAAAAAAAGGCGCATAGCTAGGCTCGGAAGACATCATCCCTAAACCCGATGGCGAAGACGCAGTTATGTGGAATAGTAAGCGCCAGAATTTGAAACGGTAAAACAAGACGTTAAAAAGGACCCGCAAGCCTTTTAATAAGAAAATCAGTAGTCGTTAGTTAACCAACTTCAAATTAGAAAGATTGTTCATGTTAAAACAGAGTACTAGGACCTTGTTTATAAAATCCGCATTTCTATATAAATATGTACATTGGAAATTTCTTAAGTCAGATATCAAATTCCACTTCAATGTTCGAATTCCGCAACAGTCTTGAACAATGCCAAAATATTTATTTATCAAGACAAAGTTGCAAGATTTGTGCAGAGTTTAGAAACCTCATCCTTAGGTATATGGACGGACGAATACAGCCATAAGCGTACTTTCAGACTGATGAGAAGGAAGGAGAACCTCTGCAGAGCCCAAAGTTTAAATCCGCGACTTCTTACTAAACAAAAGAGGGAATTAAGGTAGGCTGAATACATGCACTCTATGAGGGTAAGAAAGGATTTGACCTGGCTTAACCCGAAAGTCAACCTACGCGTACATGAACCAGTCCAATTCTGAGGTAATCTCCAAACCTCAGCGGTTACATCAACAAAGTAATGCCCTGCCTCTCTCTTCTTTTGAGCAACACTCTCGGTACTTCTCTTGGTACGTCTCTTGCACCACAAACCAACCGCTCCATTCTGCAGCTACATGAGAACGAGGAAGCCTACTTATTATTCTCAGCAGCCTCAAATGAAGGCATGATTTGCAGGGAGGATTTGCTATTGCTTACCAATTATTTTTAGGAGTAGGCGCGGGCACACTGGTCTAAAATAAATGTTTAACAGGGAAGACTAGATCAACCACACACCCCTATGCAAGCGAATTCGCAGCTTTGTCATTTTCAACACCTATACACGCGTGTGGTAAGGCGAACTCCAATGCATATGCCTTCCAGATGACCCACGCCGATGTCGCTTCAGCTGCTAATAGATGGTCCGTCAAATAGAAGGGCAAGGTGTAGCAAAACGCAGGCAGCATTCACAATCCTTGTGTTGGGAAAGATGTGGGGTTTCTCCCTACCAGAATATAAGCTCTGCCTCAAAACAGAAAATAGAGGTCAAAATTGGTGAACATCAACGCAGAAGTAATTAAAATAATCGGGTTTGCTTTATGCTGTCACCAGTGTAACGCCTCGAGACTTACCACCGGATAGAAGAAGGCATTAAATTTGGTATGGATTCTAGGTGGCGAAGGAGGGATTAAACCTTGGTTTGGTTCGGAGGTCAGTCCATGTGTACAGGGTCACGTGGAATTCTAAAGCAATCACCAGACCTTAGGTGTTTGCACATCTGGTTTATTGATACAATATGGCTGCTACATCCATTATCACTCATTTTGGCAGCGGAATTAAGAAACTGTTTGCTCGACCCTTCGTTTTAGTTGAAATAATGTGCAGGCATAGCATACCCAGTATGATTAGACTTTAAAACCAATTTAGAGGCAAAACTTAAAATTTTGCTACTAGCTTAGTAAAATAAACTCTGGAACATGATGTAACACCTTACCTTCATCGGCCTTGATCTCATTCTTCCCAGATAAGGATTTTTTGTCCATGATATATGGACTATTGCTATGCAGGTGGTCAGCAACTCTATATTTTCACGAGTTGATATCAGCGAAAGTTATTGTAATGCATATTGTTTAACTGGTTCCTTGAAGAAGCGAGGTGAGAAGCCAAATCGAACGTTGTGCTACAGGAATCAGCTGCGACCGTCATAGATGTGCATCTATCTTTACTCGCGTCATATTTCAACTTGTACTGTACTTCTATGAAGATTGGAATAAACGATTTAAAAAAAGAGTGGAGGAAATTACACTTATAGCAATAAAAAGTTAAAAAGGGAAAAATTACGAAATCACAAATTCGAGACTTTTTAATTAAAGGTAATTCTACTGAGGTTTATACTCATATAATCACCATTATCACCATTACGACGGATCAATTCAATATTACACTGAGCCAACGTAGGCTTTTGTTTTACTCGACATCTGAAATACGAAGGCCATTATGTTAGGGTTGACCAGGCCGACTGCTTCTCAAAAATTAAAAGAATAGACTTAGGCTCTAATATGCTCTTCAAGCTTCGGTACAATCAGGTGACTTGCGCTGATGAAGGACATGGCAAACAAAAAAATGGTTCAACTTGATGAGTTAATGCTGTGCCGCCGAATCAGGTTAGGAAAGGATTGGGAGCACATTGGGCATGACACCACCCTGCTTTTAGCCATGTTGGATGACCTTCGATGTGTCTCTAACTAGCATAAGGTCTCAGCGTGCTGAGCCCCACAAGGGAAGTGCTAAGTAGTGTGGCTCAGTAGTCTGTTGTGGAGAGTTATTCTGTTCATATTTTGCTTTTTACGTCAAAAAATTTAGTCAATGGGGGACTGCTGCATTTCATTCTGGTAGTGATTTGTTGGAACACGAACGGGAGGGCACAGTTTAGTGATTGCCGATAACATCCTCCAATTCTTTGCCTAGTCGTCAAACTCGCAGTTTTGGGAGGGAACTCTTTGAAAGATCATTCATCTCACCTTTGTCCAATTTCCTCAAGCGTTGCTACTTATTTTGCCTTCGAAGGCCATTTGCAACGTGAGGTTCGAGGCGCATTTCGCAAGTCAAATTTGAATCACTGAATATTAGTTGCATATCACTTAAGCAAAAGTATGAAAGGTTTACTTAGGTCTTTAAACGTAACTGAGTTTTAACTTTTTACTACGAATCAGCAATAACGAATTTTAAGACAGAAAATTGCTAACACTCGAAGGTAAAAACTTCATTTCTACATTGTTGCAGAAAATACTTCAATCTGGCAAAAAGGAACTCCAATCAGCAGTTTTCTCGTGATATAGTTGAGGAAGGTTGCAAAATACCAACACCTTCGTCTTGAATACTAAGAAAGTGAAAAGAAAAAGAAATCTCCAAATCGAACACTGGGCCTTCTTAGGGCGGGCGGAGTAAATAGTCATGGTCGCTTTACTCATAGCACTTGATCTATTGGCCTTCCAATTATAAACTGCCTTGGCACCTACTTGAAGTGCCATAACTCCAATATCGCATGTTTCTGGTTCTGGAAAGTCAACGTGGGTAGCTGCTTCCAGTAGTGCTATGCAGCCCATTCAAGGCAGCATGTGAGGCTAGTGACAGTTTCACTGACCAGTTTCTTGTTATGCTGTGCCAAGTTAGGAGTGCCATATTCAATCAAAACACACTGCCTGAACAAGGGTGTTTAAGTTTCGTAAACTATCCGTAAATCAAACAATTGATCCACCTTGTAGCCAGGTGCGGAAGGATGATCAGGAGGTTTTGAGGTATCTGGAACAAGATCCAACTGTTTGTTAACCTTTTCATAAATTATCATTAATCATGCAAACACTATTCTGTCAGGAAAAAAAATGGAATGTCAGTGGAATAGGCTTTGACCAATCCCATTTAAAAATTGTTTACGGTACTCCTTTGTGATAATTCATCGGCTATGGTATCTGTTCCAAGAAAAATACCCTGGAAGCACTCTGTTAGCTGATTACCTACGCTTTTTTGATAACAGCCTCAAATCAAGGGAAGAATTTGTAGAAATGTATCAACCTAACTCGGATTGCTAACTTCAAATTCATCCCGTTCTGTTGGGTATTAGAACTTTGCACTAACTTAGAGAAATCCCGAACAGTAGCAGCGTAACTGCAGCACCTAAATCCGGAACGCACTCAATACACGCGCCTCTGAGATTAGTTTTATAGCAGAATCACATTTTATAGGTCGTTTTATTCACTCTAGGATAAAGTCACATTTCATGAACAAACCTAGAGGACCACCCCCAAGTCCATCAAACTTGATTCGGTCCAAAGTGATGGAACTGCAAACAGTAGTGAGCAAAGTACCATCTTCAATTTTGTTCTGAAATGGACGCACAGATATTTCAATGATAACCTCACTGCCATTCCAAAAAGCCAAAAGTCACCATTTCGAATGCTTTAATTAAAAGTATTATTCCACCAAGTATCGAACGAAAATCACAGATAGGTAAATAAAATCGCCATAAGCAAAGTATGCATATGAAGATCGTAGTATGTACCATAAAACCATCCCTCATTCCATTTTCAACGGTATGCAGTTACTTCATTCCGGTTCAAGAGCAATGTAGGTAGCAATGAGTGCAAAACCAAGCACCAGGGAGAGGATCTTGCCAATTCTATCTCGAACCGTCGATGACATGTCTATCTCGGACACACTGAACTCGTGAGGCAGCATTTCACAGAAGACCACAAAGAAGAAAGTGCCGCATGCGAGGCCCTGTAGCACCGCAATAGCCATGAGGAGAGCGGGTGAAGAGCGCTGCGCGATCAACGCCCACCCGATGAGTACACCGATAGGTGAAGCAAGGGCGAAGAAAAGCGCACCCATCCACTGGGAGCGTGGGATCCCACCCTCCCGCGCCTTGTGTGCAGTGGCCAGCGAGACACCGGTGCTGATAGCCATGATGATTTTGTGCAGAATGAGGGCTGAGAATAGGGTTAGCACCTCGGAAACACTACGCTGCAGACCCACTGCTAGACCCTCGAAGATGGAGTGTACGGAGAGGGCTATGAGAAGGAGCATGATGCGGAAGGTTGAGGGGACACCCTCTGAGTCATCAGGTAAGAGAATGGTTTCAGGGTCGTGCGAGTGGTTGTGGTGCTGATGCGGAGCTACTGCCAATGTCTCATCAGAGCGTCGATCGTATGATAAGTTAGAACGGCGTTGCCTGTGACAGATATGCACACATTGCTCTACAGACAGCACCATAAAGAAACCCAGGAGAGTAAAGAGAGCTGAGAAGGGATATTGTGAATTGATTTTTAGCGCACTAAAGGCCACCGCCATTGCATCTTGCACCTCAGGGAAGAGATCCATGAGACCTGTTTGGAGTAATAGGAAAAAGCAATAAAAGTACTGCCTTAACAAAAAGGCAAAATTGGGTCAAAACTGCAAGCATGTGCGTACTAATGGATACAGTGACTGAAAAGCTGCCAAGTGATCCTTTTTATCCGAGCCCTAGAAGTGGAAACACGCTTGTCGATGGTTAGACATTTCGTGATGCATAACAGGTGGTGAAATAAGGCAGCCTAAAAGAATTCACAAACCACAACTTTTTATCCGGTAAAAGTTCCGAATTGGGAACACGGTGAAATTGACTGCAAAAATTAGAAGGGAAAGTTCCCAGTGAGAGCTGTCCTCAAGACACATGGGCTTGATCGGTAGTAGGTCTATCCATAAATATTAGTAGATTACCTTGTGCGCATTATAATGGCTATTTCTTACACCATAACGTTCACACGCCTGCAGAATTGTTTACCTTCCATGAAAAGAGGGTAGTATAGGGTTTTTATGGGATTAATTTTAGAACCTATAGGTGTACGAAGCACAAATTAAATGAAATCCAGATTGTAAGGCATTTTGCCCAGCATGTGGCCTGATCGACACCTTGATGAAGCCAAGTCGGAGTCACATCCTAGTCACACCAACCAATTTGGCTGAATCTCAAGAAACTATAAACTTGGGTCCGAAGTAAGAGAGCCTTTGTGTTAAGCGAAAAGACAATTTATCGAGAGGATGCACAGTTCAAAGTCCATTGAGACAGGATGGAAAGAACCTGGCCTAATGACCCTCGCCTAAGCTTTCCGTACGATACATAACCCATAAAGAATTGAAGACTGTTTATCTCACGTTACAGCCCGATTACGCACTGCTTCAGTGTGCATTGAAGCACATCCGGCACATTGTGCCTGATGAAGCACAAGCGGTGCGCAAACGTTTGTGCCTTTCCGTGTTTGAATGCCATAGAATCGGTTTGATACTACCATGGTAAAGTGGGTGCAATAGCCCCTGCTATACTTTCTAGCTCAAAGCTGGAACACCAAAAATTAGTGGATAATGCGCTCGAAATCATTCCTCTAGATTTTTCTGTTCAGGTTAGAGTATTGTCGCGTTAAGTTACGCAAAACTCCTACAACACGCAGTTCAGAAAAAGGCTCCTAAAACACGGTTCAAAATAATCCAAAAACCATAGATGTAAAAATGACAAATGTAAATTAGGGTGCGGTTGACGGTACAACCGACATTTCCACTTAACCAGCATATCGGTTGAAGCTCAAGTTACTTGCAAATAATATGACCATAATTACATAACACAAAAGAAAAGCAGCTAATGTCTTGTTGCACCGTGCGCAATTTTCCATTGCGTATTCGAGGTTGCATACCTACAAATTCTATAGCCCAACTTTCCCAAAATGCAATAGTTCTAAAGCTACACATAACTTGTAATAAATAGAGCCATGAATTAACGACCCACATGGTAGAGCGTATGCGTCGAAAGAGTTGTTGATGCTACGTACGAAGCATTGACACTGTTCGCCAATTGAGGCGACATCGCCAAATGAAACACAACATCCAACATCCTCTCGGCATTTATTCTCTTACAAACGTGAAACTTTCCATACATTCTTAGTAGAGTGGGACCTCAAGTTCTTAAAAATTTATCGTAAAAAAAGGGGGGCATGATTTGTTGCTACTGATAAACTTGATGCTTATTCTTGACTTAGATCGGAGGCTGCTTGGCTGTTTATGCATCCTTTTCAAGAGAGCTAGACTTGTTCGCAAAACTGTGTTGCGCACAATAACAATCAATCGAAAAGTAAAAAGTGGAAACCTGTTTCGAAAACTAACCTAGTGTTCTCTGTGTCCGACATCTGACTAAACAAATATGGACCGAAAAGTCTTTTTGCGTAAGTGATCCACATTGTCAAACGCCATTCACGTGCATGAAATTTTGTGCTTGCACTGACGTCAATGCACGGAAAGACGGGAGTGATTGGCGCGATGGGGCACATTTGCATTCACTTAAGCGAGGACTAAATCAGCGACAAGACAACGGTAATCTACTTTATTCTGCTGTTGCAATGGTAAAATGTGAAATGTGGCAAATCATAATAGGTAACAACAGTTAGCCAAGTTAAAAGCTTCATTCACTTCAAAAAACACCTAATCACCACAAGTAGCGGGTTTTCAAGCACTAGAAAGGATAAAAAGGACGAGATGACAGATGAGAGAAGATGAAGACGAAGTGCTCAGACTGTAAAACAGTTCTATTCCACAATTGCCTATTATCGCGACACATATGTCAGAAACGCATTATATTCAAGAACCAAGAAACAACGCCGAAGCGCAGGATGCATTACGCCCAATAAATCACACCTAACACCTAAACAAGTTCGCGAATAAAGGGGCATGGGAACAGCTGCCGAAATAGCTGCACGGCCTACTAAATAACCGACTAACTACTACTAGAGAGGCACTAATGCGACGGATGTCTTCAAAACGCATAGAATACATGGGACCAAGAAGGTAAACAAACTATTTAAATACAAACGCTTATGTGAAAAATGCGAAAAAACCGCATGCATACTGGCAGGCGGCAATGTAGAGAAACTAACAACGGCGGCAAACGTGATAGTTAGGTCTGTGACAAGTGCGCATGTTTACCAAAAATACACTGACTACGGTACTGTCGTCACAACTATAGGCAGTAGTGAAATTTTTGAGTTAACGATGAAACATGTAACTCTACAAATCGGAAACCGATGTACTCAAGTGAGGCGTCTGACAGTGGTCGATTGGCAACACATACTACGTTGTTTTCTTTAAAGGAAAGTCTTGAAGATGCAAGCGAGCCATTAAAATGAAAAGATGGTGGATGAAATCAACTAACGTAAGTTAAGGCGCATCCGTTGCACAATGATGGGGTGTCAAATCTCATATGAAAGTTAGGGTCACGGAATACGTACCTTGATGCTTGCTTGTGGGTATTCGAAAGAACTGAGCTGAATGAGCCACCACAAAACAGTATCCACATAAAATTAAAAGATAAGCGGACGTACCAGTAGAGAGGAAAATGCCCGCAGCAAAGCAATTGATACGGCTGGCCCACTTGCGAATCACACGCATTCGCCTGTGAGAGCCACGTCGACGAACACTTTTGATAGGCATCGAGGACGGAATCCCTCCGTTAGATGTCGCAGAACCGTTAAAGACGCCGGCCACGCCATCACCATCTACACCGTTCCCCATGGCGCCATCACTCCAGCGAAGGCGGTGGTCTTCGCGCAAGACAGAGGCGTCTTCATGGTGCTCAACTTCGTAGAAAGAAGGAGTACTAAGATTGAGTGTCTGTGGCGTCTCTGGTACTTGCGAATCGGGGCCACGAGTAAGCAGCAACTCCTCCGACTCGGTACTTTGCGGATCCAGAGATGATGCCTCTCGATCCTCCGCCTGCTAGTGAAAATATTGGTACCTAAAATAACTACTACTTACTATCAACACTTGGAGTAGGTACGATGGACAAAGATTGCTTTGAGAATTCCGCCTTAACAAAAATGGGCACTGCATGCTTTCTTAAGATGCCGATTCCGACTACCGATGTTTTCTGAGATTGATTCCACACATCTGTAACTTCCCCGCATGTGCATCAGTAATAACTATGCTAAAACTTTAAGGCTCGAACTTAACAGGAATAAAAGATGGGGTGTGACCGTGAAGGTACAGAGAGCAAGCACATAATGAGTAGACTGTTTAATTGCATATCAATGAATTTAATTTTAACAAAAGCCATACAAGACGTCTGGAATGCAACCAAGACAAACATGAAGTAAAGGGTTAAGCAGAAATACCATACAAAGTAACAGCATAGTTTTACGTGGTGAAGAAATACTAGAATTAAAGACCGAAAACAATCATATCTAATGTAAGGATTTAAAAAAAATATTGACGACTCAAAAAAATTACACCTTCATCCGAAGTTAAGCAGTAATACTCCCAACATCAGTACTTTAAAATAGTAGCTTTTGCACCAGACGAGAAAATTGTGCTGCGAGTAATCGCATTTAACACAGTGCCTCAGATCAGCATGGCAATACATGACAGTTGTGGACTTAAGCATGTTGACCACCCCAGACTTCTGCAATTCGAGTGCTGCGTCAACTAAATAAACTCCTGTTCATTCCATCTACGCCAATGGCCACAATGGCCCTCTACACACTACTACTGCTTAGACAGTTCAGAATAAAGGAGAAACAAAACACATTCTTATATCTGGCGCTCAGACCAAACGTTTTTGAAAACTGAACAACAGGACGGGAGGAGAAGCCTACCCGCGAGGTACGGCAGGTAATAGTGTCACCGGAGTTGGGACCATTGGAGGAGGCGGAAGCGATGCAAGAAGTGCGTGAGCGCATCCGTCGTGCGATACAAGTTACCACAAGGAGGGGGAGGGTACATGCTGCGGCAGTGATGCTGAACATGCCAACGGCAACGCCCAACTTTACGTAGGTCAGTCGATGGCCATCGTCGACAACAGCGCTGGAGTCGCTTGTAGAGTTTCCAGAGTAGGTATAAATCACCAAATCTCCTGTAGCACACCGCTTACTCCAAAACGACAGGAGTAACGTCCACACAAGCAGCCAGTAGTCGTGTCGGACCTGGAAAATGAATTGAGGAGGAGCCATTAGGCTCGACAGGAAAAGGACTATTCCAACGAGAACAAAACCCAACAATCGACGTTAAAGATTTGGAAATGGCAAAAAAGAAATCTACTTAAGAAGTGCATTCAAGACATCTAAAAGGAAAGAGAAATAAATAAGCACAATTTGAGCAATGTCAAGGCCACAAACAGTGCAAACGATTGATAACTTTTTGGAGAGTAAAAGTCAAGTAAGAGTGATTCGACCGAGAGGCCGAAAACTATGCAAATCGCATAGATAAGGACGAAAATGAACATGGACAGTAGATCACATGTGTGTATATTCATTGTGATGACACCTTATGCGAACTAAAGGGAGATACACGAGCACAAAACAACAAAGTACTTTTATAGACATGGAATATAAATAAAAAAAATAATGCGCAATAAGAAACTGTGCACTCATTTGCTTCCAATGCATTAAAAATGATGTGACTGTCGCTATGATGAAATTGGAAATGCTAGATAAACAATTACGATTCTGCCTCCAAGAAAAAAGGTGAACAATAAAATGAGCACAAAATCATTCAAGTGTAAAGAAGTGACTTCGAACAAATCGTAAATAGTGGAAAGAAAATAAGAAATTCTCACGTTCTTTAACACCAATACATACTTGCCTACCACCCTGCACAAACAACGGTTTCGACATTCCAAATGTAAACTATCAACCTTTGAAACTGAACAATTACGGACAAGCAACGACGTTCCGACGAACGAAACTCAAATGTGATGGCTCATCAGCTTGTTTGTAAATTTTGCAAGTATATTTCTAAGCCACTATGAGTGATACAATTTATCCCAAAAATCTTTGACATAAGCTGTACGAAAGCAAAATTTGTCTCAAAAACAAAGAACTACAAGGGATATGCGATGATTGATAGGAAAAAGCAAGAACTGCAGTTTACGTCCAACAGAAGCACTAACATTTTGGATGTCGCAGAAGGAGCAAGAATAAGATCAGAGTTTCGTGGTATGAGGAAAACAAGAATTCACTTACAAATTTCAGAATCAGCAATGCCTTCAGAGGCGACACACCTTAAATAAGTTGGAAAATACATCTAGTAAATATAGGTAAACTTGGGATGGTGTGCAGAAATCATGAATGTCTGATGAGTAGGTAGTTGCCGTAAGCACAGATTCTGATATGCGTCAAAAAGCTGGAGCTGTCAAGTCTGGTGATGGGTTTGCACGATCGCAACAAGAGAGTACTTTAAAAGACAACGAACTCGGCAAACGGCATTCCATACACATCGAGCAACTACAGAGTTTGTCACGATGGCTATGTGGCAAGCAGTAAATGATGGCAAAGTGCGAATACGCCCTTTACACCAAACATTTAGGCGAGGATAGTGAAAGTAACACATCTTTAGAGATGATTCGTAAACAAAGGAACAAAGGATTAAGGAGTAACCAAATGGAGCAATGACCGTACTGGAAAGCATAAGCTTGGAGCCACCACAATCTGAATGAGGCTTAAAACTAACCTTAAAAAACGAATGTATTTACTAAAATAAAGCAGAACTTCACTCTAGGAAGACGGGATAATTAATAGAAGGGATAAGGTTTACTAATAGTTTACTTTAGCTCCATGAATTTTATTCCACATGAGGGTAGTTTGACCGCCGTTTCTGGAGACTCGAGTAAACTATTGGCGGCATGCGAGAGCTATTGGGTGAATAATGAAGGTTTAACAGAAATATTGATACCGAGATGCGAAAAAACTAAATCAGTTACAAAAAACGCTACACACAAATAGCTTCCAAAGAGATAGCATGTCAGGGGAGCCAAATAAGTTTTGAAAACCGCATAGTTCAGAATAATACAAATACCATCAGAAGAATACCAACATGAAACAGATGAAAGAGCTTCCGTCTTATAAACAAGGCTGCTGCGATGAAGGGAAGGCGATGATTGGCTAAGACTTAACCAATGGCGAAGGCGATTTTGCGAACAGATTGAAATGAAACTGAACAGTACCCACGATGGGCTAGGTACAACCGATTCAAAGCGGTATTCTGTTAACACGGGATAGGGGTACCTAAATGAGGACTTACTAAATAAATTAACTCCATACTTCTAGACTTCGACAAAAGAAGGAATGCAAGAGCAGTAGCAATGGCACTTGCCAGTAGTTATGAATTTGAAATTGGCATCTACAATCGGAAGAGGTCGCTGATGATGTAAACTTTATAAGGCTAATATTATCGACTCTCACATTCAAAGAGTTTTAAGGATGGGGAGATGTGTGAATAATTTAAAACAATGTGGAAACGACCATGCTGACGGTCAAGGTGTTTTAAAGGCAGTTTCAGCATCTGCCAAACAATGAAAGTCCACTTGGTTGACTATTAGGACCAAATACTTTGACGTCACCACAAGCAACAACAAAACAGCCAATGACTTTCCGAAAATTTTACCACATGAAACTCAAAAGTCCCAAAAAAGGATAAGAGATAGTAAACGTGGGATTGAGTGGAAAAAAACAGATACAATACACAAACGTGCTGAAAAAAACGCCTAGTAAAGGCAAGATAATTTATTTTACAAAAAAAAAACAACTAACGCCGCTAAAACACAAGTAAATGCAATATAGTACCCACAGCAGTGTGTAATGATGACTAAGGATGTTCAATGTCGCAAGCGAATGTAGGGTATATTGGGATAGGCCTGAGTGGCACAGGGTGTACAAAGCCACTCAACCAAGGGTCCCTCCGCCTTGAGAAGATAGAAGGCTTCAGGAGTGAGGCCGGAGCAATGGAGATGGAACCAGCCCCGACATCCAGCCTCGCACTGCACTGGCGGGTAATTACAGGACATTAGCTTTCCAGGCATCGAGGAGGGCGGAGCAGGCGGCTCGGTGAGATCGCGAGAGCAAATGAGGCACACTGTACCCTGTGCAGGCATATTAAAAGGGGGTGCAGGACCGGAAGGAGGCATAGGAGGAGTGGTGCCGACTGGCTGTTGGCCAGGGAGAGGCAGCGATGGCGGTACTTGCTGCTGTTGTTGCATCCCTATTGGTGGCTGACGAGCTGATTGTCGAGTGGAGTCAGGGACTGAAAGACCCAATGCGACTAGTTTGCATTAGCGTGCATATGAGGACTTAGCAGTCGTACAGTAGGTTACAAATTATTGTTTTGAAACACGTGATTACTGGTAATAAAATGTCGTTGGAAGCCAACTTTGTAATTGGCCAAGGTTCAGAAGGACAACCATCCATCCGATGAATAATTGCAAAATAATGCTTGCAAACTTGAAAAAAAGAAGACACAGAACAAAACCAAGACGATTACTGAGGAAGAAGTACCAAACCAAAAAGCAGCTGCACAAACAACGATTCATGTTACAAAGACTTCCTTGGAACAAAATGGATAAAAAACTGATGCCATTTAAGAGTTAAATTCAGATTAGAAATCCGAATATCTTTCAAAAGTTCGGAACCAATATAATCACCAGTTTCGCGATTAATTATTCCATCTTCCCTGTGCACTTAGTGGGAGGTGTTAAAGAGTGGTGGCAATTTGAAAACCAAAGAAAATCTTCCAGCATGTTAACGATGTTTACACGTAGATATTGGCGAAAGGTAGGGCGAAAAGGTAGATAATTTAATGTTGTGCATGACATTAAATCCAATGGGTTGACGAAACAAAGACATTTGGAATGAGTGGAAAGGCAATGTACTAATGGTTGAATGCTGATAAATTGTCTAGTGAGTAACTATAAACGGACAGGAGTGAACTATTTCCTCCACGAATCAGAAAAATCAACGATTCTTAAGCGCAAAGAAACAGACAGACAATTAAGAGTCGTAAAAGTGCCAAAATAATATGCTGAGTCCGGATTATCACAATAGGTGAGTCAATTTTACGAAGATGTCTGTGGGAAAAAATACAAAATACTTAATTAACTCGACTTCTGAGGTGAAAATTCAATTCAACACTGAAAATTCAACTCACCTTCCATGCTCCGCATAGGCATTACAGGATTTGGTTGGGACTGCTGATGTTGGGGCATGGGCACAGGCGAAGAAATGGGAGGCTGTTGGGGAGCAAAAGGTTGTTGTGGTGGCATTGGAAGAGGTAGGGTTCTTAGGATTCCGGCAGCGCCGGGTACAGACTTAACACCAAATCCACCGTCATAAGGTGATGGATGACCTACTGGTGGCATTGCAGCTGCGTCTGGTGTTGGCACAGGACCCATTATCCCGCCCTCTGCCGCATGCTGAGCAGGTGGCGATACGCCTGGAAAACGCGAGGGCGTGGACGGCTGCATTGGGGCTTGGAATCCTGTGTTAAAGATACAAGAAAACACTGATAGATGCCCATATCTATGGTGGTGGCTTAAAAAAAGGTGACGATTGGGACAGTAATTGACTACTTTCATACTATAATCATTCATAAAGACATCACTTGTACCAGAAAAGGGTAAATACATTAAATTAAAGTCAACGAGTAATAAACAAAGAAACATAGCACAACAACAAATCCAAGCCATGAAAGAAAAAGGCGCACATGTAGAAACCACTGGGAAGCACTAAAGCAACAGAAGCTAAAGTGGTGTTTGCAATGGACTTACTTTGCTGTTGCAGCATATCAACGGGCAGTTGACCAGGCATCTGATTGTATACGGACTGTTGTTGAGGTAAGTGAGACGCACGCACGTTGGGACCAGGCAACATCATCGACGCTGTTGGATGCTGATACATAGGCGGCCCTCGCTGATAGCTACCGGGAAGTGAGTCTCCAGGACCGTTAATACCGGGTCCCATAACCTGATTGTGCATCGGCATCACACTATCGGTGGGGTACTCGCTGACTCCCTCCTGAAACATGAAAGATTAAAAATAAAACTTACCAACTGATGCAACTTCCCTGGTAATGGACCAACAGTTGCAACATTCCGCCCCATTCGTGGGGAAGTCTGAAAATTAGGGGGTCTCATAGGCTGCTGCATATAGGAAGCATGTCCATTGGCTCCAAATTTGTTCATTTGAGGATGCATATAGCTCGGTTGCGGGTTGTTCAATATAGGTGGCGGATTTTGCTGGTTTATTGGAATGCGAGGATCCATTGAGAAACGCCACCAATAAACTCTAAATGGTAGAGACGCCTCTCAAGAGCTTTATTGCGTCACCAGCCAATCAAATGACAGTGCATAACATCATCGCTATCATTTGCTGATATATGCTGCTTTACAAAACATTTTGCCTTGAGACATAAAGCTAGAAACAAAGTCTCTGGTGCTGTTTTTACGCAAAATACAATAAAAAACTTGGCGTGAAAAATTTTTAGTTAAAAATTTTATTTTTAAATTATGCCTTTATGTCATTTGATAGTTGAAAATTTAATCCAAGCATCTTAATAGCTCCCCTCTTCCAAACTTTTTGGTATTATGTTTCTCTTTACTCTGCCCTGAAGTTTAACCCGGAATGAGTGTGGTGATTAGAAAAGCTTCATCTCATTTTCAGTGGCTGGTTGTGAGCACGTTCAACTATTTTACGGTTAAATTGTGAACTCCTGCCAATTCCTCCAATCCTAGGGCCATCTGCGTTGCTGCGGGCTAGTGAGTTGCGGTACCTTCCTGTCCTCCCTGTAGTCTCTTAAGACGTTCTCCTTGTCTCTCGCATACAAAGACTTCAAAATCGCTGAGAATGTTGCGGTACCAGAGCATACCTATGTGAAAGATTCATCAGCAAATTGATGGGCTTTGAACGTCTCACATCGTCGTTTTTTGACTCGCAACTCGCTTGGCAACAGCAAAAAAAAACGCCTGGTGTGTACCTACCTCAAGCTGGCAACCAGTGCACCACTACTCGTACTACTTTACTAACTTATTCACGGTGACTCATCGATGGAACCTTTAAGCATAGCTACTAATGCAGTGGAAAGATGCAGCCACCTACCACATAGTTCACCCAGAATGCCGTCTACACTGTCCATGACCAACTTTTAGAAGTTTTTACCCTTGCGGTACGGCTGAAACGCCCATTCAAGAAATGCAACCACTTGCGGATTGAGATGATACAGATGAAATTTACATAGCGATGAACGAAATTTGACCTGCGAATATAGGGAAATTCAGATTCAGAACAACATTGTATGGGGGTGTTAGTATATAAGCATGGAAGTGTACTGTTTAGAAGGATAAAAAATGAGTTAAAAACGCAAAGAAACACGAAATGGCACGTTTGAGAATGTCTGTCGGTGGTGGTTGATCAATGAGAATTAAGCTAACAAAATGAAGATCGCGTATGTTGTCAGTGGATGTGTTCATCACAAATAAGCGTATGCAATTTAAGCGAACGAGAAACCGGCTTTATGTAACCAATTTCAATTCCTCCATTTGCTACGACGCTCGCGAATCTTGCGGCCCGTGTGATAACCAAAAATTTTGTCAAATGCCTTTTGATAAAACGGACGACAGTCCGGAGACTCGTCTACAAAATAATCAGACAGATTAGTTTAAGGCGGATGACAATATGTACAAGGTTAGAACCAATAGGCTATGGTTGTGAGAGGACCCAGCAAATTTTCCGCGTTCAGCTCAGTGGCTATTAAAAAGGCCCGGTACTGAGAGTGGTAGGAATCCTATAGTTCTTCTACCATTGGCGGCATCTAATACTCTGCCAAATGTGTGTATCTCCACCTGTAAAACAGGATGACTGACAAAATCTCACACATTAATGGTAAGTTTGTCTCACTCGCCAGTAGTGCAAAGGTAAGACCCAGGAAGAATTCGATTTCGTTCATTAGAGGCTTTGAAACGAAGTTGCTGAGCCTATTGAATTCTTGTTTAAAACAGATTAGAGTTGAATAAAGTAAGTGAGAAATAGCCTTGAATATTTTGGAGCCCAAAGCAACCAACCTGTGGAGAGTCACCATCGAAACCGCCAATAACCAAAAGCAAATTGCGAAGGGCAAAATTAATAATATAGTCTGGCCGACTGACCATGAAATCGTTGAACAATCCCGCTAGCTAATTTTTAGTCTTTAAAACGCCACATTATCATTTGTGCTTGATCTCTGTTGAGCACAGTCCTTTGGACAAATAAGAAGCCCGAAGGTCATATTTCAGGATATCGCAAAACTTTGAAATGAAAGTATTGGAAGCAGTAGGTTTGTGAGGGGTCAACATGTTTTTCCGAAAATAACTTACCACAATACCAATATTTGGCACTCATCTTTTGGGCCACTTACGCAACTAAGCAAAGATCAATGCTAATGGTGATGACAAAGCATCGAAGGCTTCCGAAGCCCATACTTGACGCACAGCGAGAAACATAAAGCATTGAATATCAACGATAAAGCAAAAATTCGCAGAGCGTCATCAATAGCAGGTATATAATCCAAAAGTGTGACTAATAAAAATCAGCATCTTAAATGGCGTCAGCTGTGACAAGCACCTATTTGATTTGTACTGTTAAAATTGACTGGGAAAAGTAGTCTAGTTCGTTCAAAACCATATTTTGCACATGAGGAAAACGCCTCTTCATAAAGTTGGCAAGACAATTAGTCAGCATGGATTAATAATTGACGCGATCTCGACAGTTGTTGTGTTTTTGACTCTCCTCAAAAGCTGTGTAATAAAAACAGAAGTTGAAACAGACCCTGCTGGCGATCTATAATCTTTTCCTGTAGTTCAAGGAGCTTGTTTCGACAGCTCTCATAAAGCTCATCCCGATTCTTCAGTTGTTTTCTAGTTTCTTTCAGCGCTGAAGAAAGATAACATTTAATTTCTTTTATGCAATGCACGAAGGGAATCAGCATGTAGTTGAGTGACGAAAGCAAGCTTACAAGCCCCACACTTTGCATGCTTTTCTTGACATTCAGAAAGCGATCGCCCACATTCACTATATAATTTCTCTAATTCCTTTAATGAAGATTTAACCATTTCCAGTTCTAAAATAAGAGGTAGAATGTTTTTGCGCAAAGGAAATAGAGGAGTATCACGTGATCATAGACGGTATAGAAAATTGAATTAGAAAGTGAAACAAACATGCGATATTATAAAAGCAAAAGATCTTCTGAAACTATTTTCATCTAAGCCAAATCAGAAACTACCAGTAAAGCAACTATTGAAAGAATTCGAAATGGCCTAAGTAGTACTGATGGATAGAGATATTCATAAGTTGACTCACTGGTTTCCAGTTGTTCGATTTTCTCCTGTCGCCAATTTAACATTGACCTGCACCTTGTCAGCTCAGATGACCCGTCGAGATCGACTTCGCGGGGAGGAGCGAGGTCTGTCAAGAATCTAATCTGTTAGAGGAGGCTAGCGTAGAGTAGGAGAATGCCAACATAATGGGATTGCGCACCTGTTTTTGCCGATGATTTTGAAGTAGGCAACTATGAAAAAAAATAATACACAAGCTTAATGACTAAGAAAGGCGTAGGGTTGAGAGAAGCCCTTGGACTTCTAGCATAAAGAATAGCACACTAAAGCTAGTAGGTACGTTATGAGGAGACTGCCGACGAAGAACAACACAAAAGCACCAAAACATTTTGAGCAAAAATAAGGCGTCTAAATTAGCAACTGAAGAGGATACTCGGTGGAATGTCGTCACAGGATACACTTTGATTTAAGGTGAAGATAGTGTTGCAAGCCATATCCTCCAATGCTTAAAACATTGAAGGAAAAACTTCTCCCAAACAGAAGTGACAACACGAAATATGCGTTGTTGTAAAGGTTAAGTGTTCTAGGCGATAAGCTGTCAATATAACATGAGAACGTGCAACCAAATCCACTAAAATATCAGTCTGCGGTTAAATAGGCCCACCTTTTTTCAACAATTTGTTACCGAATAACCTCTTATTCTATAGATGCACTTCAAATGGTATCTTGTATGCAAACTTTACGAGGCAACTGTCCATGGTGGTGCGCTTTCTCGACCCAGCTAATATTGCTGCACAATCTAGTTCTACTTAAACACAAGAGATTAACTGTGCTTATGGGGTAGATGGATCGGTTTTGATAGCGTAAAAAATTGTTGAGTACCATGAGCTAAAAACATGAGAAATCGTTCGAGTCCCATGGCTGATGCAGCGCACCCCAATGAAACAGAAATGTAACACCTTTGAAACCGTCGACTTGAACCACAGGATCAAATTATGACCCCGAAAGATATACACGGTAATATATTACAAAATAATAAGTTCTATCCTTTAATGCGCTTCTGGTGAGCCTAAAAGTACAAATGAGAGGTAATTAGAGAAAAAATGCCTTTCAACCTGACTCTTAGAGCCAACGCCAGGAACTGTTACGCAGCTGCAGAAAGAAACGCACTTTGGTCAGACCAATTCGTAGCAATTTTTTTGCCAAGAAAAATCCAATTTTTCGGCTTGGAAGCAATATACTTGGTACCAAATGGAAACCGCAGTGAATATACTCAAATAATTAAGTGGTAAACTATTTAACAAGGTTGATCGCGCTGTCCCTCTAAACAGTTTCCGTAAATGCTACTCGCTGTCAATTCCCCAACCATCACAGCAACAAAATGAACAAAACATTGCCACACTACATTCACGTCACCTAATTCTTCCGATTAAGGGGGAGAATATGGGTAAAATACAGTTTAAACCATAAAGAAAATTAGTCAAAGTTTTGAAATCAAATGAGATTAATGAGATGAGTTGCAGCAGGCAAAACAATGCTCAACTCAAATAAAGGGAATTCACTCAAACAAAAGAGCATTTGGGATTGAGCAGAGCATAACTCAACCGCATCGGTTTGCACCACCCTTTTCACGTAATCTGTAGAGCACTGAAAAGGTCACTTCTCATTCTTACACAAAGAATAAAAGAAGGTGCTGCAGACTCGTAATGGTGGGAAATGGAGGATCGAGTGCAACTGTCGGACAGTTTTGGCTGCTGAAGGGAGTTATGCGCTCTTCCATGAAAAGCTGAGTAAATTTGGCGAAAAGTTTGAGTAAATTGACGGAAACATGATCAACAAACACGGTACAGTGCTCGTTACACTTTATGGCACCGACAATAAACTGGCGAAATGCATAAAAAGAGGGCTTCGCAGGAGATGGGAAGTGTTAAATTTGGTGCGGATCCTCTCCTTGATAGAAGATAGGATGTGTTAAGGTTACAAAACAGAGAGTTGGGTGGCCGCATAACGTCCAGAGAAAGTGGTAATCTCAGTGTCGTGTGGGGGTAATTTGGACATAGTGTAGTGACTAAAGGAAGGAAGTTGGATTTGATTAAATTACGTACAGGTTTAGTAAAGTTAACTGCATGAATTGAGCATGAATAAACTCGATGCGAGACCTTGAAAAGAGGAAAAAGGCGGATAAAGTTGCATGAATGGGGAGTTGGGAGAGCACGTGCATTCGTGCCCACACAACCATTGATCGACAAGGCCTTTTGCCTTGACTGAAGACCGGAAAAGTAACCACTAGGAAAGTAGTGACTGCTGTGGAATTCGTGCGCTACTAAATATAGAGGGCTAACAAGATGGGGGCAAAGCGCTTTCTTGAAAGTGGGAACGACGAATTGAAGGGCAAATGACAACGCAATGTCCAATAATCAAAGAACTGTGAAAATCGGTAGACAAGCCTTTGCTCTCGCATACCCTAGGTTTTATCTCATTACCGAATGGGAATCCCAAACAGTGAAAAGTGGCAACAGGAAAAGTTTATCAAGGATGAAGGAAAATCCTAAGTAAAGTTTTGGGAAATGATGAAGTGACTAAGGGTTGGTTACGCAAACATTCGATATTAGAGGAATGTTGAAGATGCTTGCGTGCATAGATTACGTCCGTGAGCAACTTAAATGGTTAGCCATATATTGCAACAAGGCCAGCATACATACAATTGGCGCAAGTACTTCTTGAAATGGTTAATGTTTCTTTACGTATGACTTAAGCATCTATTTAATTTGAACACTGATTTTAAGAGTTGTGAGATTGCATTTTATACCTCCTGTGCATAGGAGCAGTCCAGATACGACACTAAATGGTGATTTGTGTCCCAAATATAGAGAATCGCAAATCCTCCTCCACTGCGCACCAATCACAAGAAAACTGTAGTGTCAAAGATCGTTATTCTCAATAATAAACAAAGAGCATTCCAAGGATATAAAAAATAGACGACATGAGGGATGACAACACCACGAGAAAAGTGGGGATGAAATTTCGACTTTCCCTACATAACGCGAAGGAACAGAAATCCGAAACGTTGCAAGACGCATAGACAAGCACGCGTCGCCTAACACTTATAAGCCATTTCCCTACCACTAGCATTCGAACAAAAACCTTTTGCTCGTGCCCTGAGGCTGCATAAGGCGATTACAATACTAGGATTAACACATTGTTTAGAACCAGAAATTTCCGTCCATTTCCATTTGCAGCAAACCTCCAATGGTCTAAGGCGATTTAATTGAGGACAAAATAACAGATAACAACTATATGGGGTTGAAATTTTCCATTGGTTTTAAGTAAACTTTTAAAAGGGCTCCACTAAATTTCATGCAAATCTCAAATTGATGAAGCCGGAAGTCGCACTGAGAAGTCCAAAGCACCTTAGTTATTCGTTTGCTTGAATGGCCGTACATAAACAAAGTAACCTCTCCTATGGCAAACAGACCGTTATTATGCAGTTAGTGAAAGTGATCATGAAGTCACTTGGTAAATGCTAACTTACCAGACAAATAGTTGTGGTTGGGATCAAGACTAAACAGAAATAATGTTGAGCCCTTCAAAAGGATGATCCCTACCTGCCGCGATGAGCACACATAAGGCAATGAGTTTTGATGTGTTATCTACAAAAAGATAAGAAAGTCTTTACTACCTCATAGTCAGTCTTCAACGATTCGGAGGGGTAGAAAAAGACAAACAAGCGGTTGATCTACACACCAGTCGGATTAATTCACCAAAAACAAAAGCTTAATTAACCGAAAAAAACCCTATTTGGATTATAGGCTACAACGAATTAGGTCAAGGCGGCACGAAAGTTGATTTCTCCATTTATAATTACAGGAGAAACGCATGGGACGAAGTTTATTTGAGCAATGAGAGACATTATCTACTAAAGATTATGAAGAGTGAACTGACGACCATAAAGAAAGCCCAAAGACTAGCTAAGACAAGGTGTATGAAGGCGTTAACGGTCATATGTGGCCCTTAAATGTGGGCAATATGAAAACAATGTTAAAGATGGTACTCCAAGAACATGAACAACTGTGATGAAAATTAGCTCCAAATACACAAAGCATGAACTATGGTAAAAGCATCAGTTATCCACTGTCAGTGTCCTATCAAGCACTTAAAGCCTTATTAACGAAGTTTGGTTAATGATCACTTTGTGCTCAACCTGTACGAACTTCAAAAACGAATACACCAAGTACTCAGAATCGACTATGTTCGGACTGTCCCGCCCAAGTCCTTCATCAGATCATCAATATCTACCTTTAAATGACGGACTTCGTCTATGGCAGAAGACAAAGCTATGGAAGAATCGACAAAGGCCACTTACGAAATGAAAGGAAACATGAGTACACACTGAATGTTCCCACTTTTAAAAAAGGGCTTTACACGTTGTGGGTAGAAAGTTGATTTGAATAAAATTGGAAGCTTCTTCAAAGTCCTAAACCAGGCATTGTCTTATGGAGCTCATGCTGCCTGTGTGAAGCCCCAACTGCCCTATGCGTGGGAAACCCGAAATTAGGCGTGCGAATTTGTTTGCGATCACAGAAGTGGACATGTTGACATGATACAACTAAATGCCTATAAAAACATGCAGTGAACTGGGCTTAATACAAAGAGAACCTCGATACACAGATAAACGGTTGCATTGTACACAGTAACATTGTCGAAGTCCTTTAGAAAAGGGCTCTAAACGATCACAGATCAACCTGAGGTATATGGAAACTAAACGATGAAGTTTTTGACCCCCTAAGTATTGGTTAAAATATATGGAGAACTTCGCATGTAGTGTGAATAAGAAAATCTCCACCATATGAAAGTAAACATGCAGCAACAGAACGGTGAAATCGCAATTGCGCTTTTCCAGCATGATGATGATTGCAGTCATCGCCGTTTCGACCTGCAAAGTGCCCGATTTATCGATAGAATCGGCTCATTAGGCTCCTCCAAATAGCCTGCAATATGGCCATACTATCTAGTGGTAACTCGAAAGGTGATGAGAACGGGCGGCAAACCCGAAAATGTTGCAAATAAGATGCGCATTGGTTGGATTCGATAATTCAGACTACTACAAAACTTTCCATCAATGTCGAAATGCATATAAATTGCAGTTGTTCAGTCAGTTATATAATCACTCGTTTCAGATCTCCATTGTAATTTAAAATAATCCAGTTGAACATTAATCCATAAAGTACAAGAACGCCAAGAATACTTTAAGACAAGAGAAACAATGAGGCATTGTCCTAGCTTACCAATGCGACCAGTAATTTCATTGATTTTTTCGATCAAATCAACAATGCGAAGAAAGAGATTGGCAACTGGACTGTCGCTTCGTCTGGTGCTATTACTGTTAGCGGGTTCCCCATCGTCTCCATTCGCTATACCATCCACCGTAGTATTTTCTCCATTCACCGTTGTTAAAGGCTCGGCATGATGAACTTCTGGTTCAATCTTGGAAATGGTTTTTAATGATACCATCTGAACATCATCTTCTGGCCTAAGGAATCACCAAATAATACATTCAGGTAAAGTGAATGCATAAAACGACCTTTTATAAGCACTTGTCAAAAGGTTAAACAACCTCATTTACTCTCAAGAACATTTTGTCAAGACTTTAAAAAACCCACCGAGAGGGTTCTTCAGTTCCTGAATGGGAATCCAAGTTACATCTGCCAGAAATCTGTGGTTTATCAACAGCTAATTCTTCTGACGAAAGACTTGACTTATTGGAGGAATTTCGAATTTCCACTGACCGACTACACAAAGGCTCTACAACATCTACGCATTCTAGAGGAAAAGGAACCATTCTTAATTAGTAGCAATACCATCATTCGACGTTGAACACAAACCCTGATCCTGTGAAGATATATTTGTAATATCTTCGAGGCTAAAAATGAAAGTTGGCATTATTCATTAAAATTTTTGAAATATTCGTGCAAAAAAGACCAAAATAGTAACAAAATAAGTTGAAACGAAACAAATTCTTTCTTCCACATGATTTTCCAAAACTCACAAAAGCCCGACTTTTAGTTCCACACACTTGACTGGTTCTACACATCCCATATCCAAAAGAAGCAAGTAATAGAGTTGAAAATGTGCAAAAAAGCCAATAAGAAGGCTTACGGAGCTGGAGACTCGACTTTCGAATCGACTTTGACATGGCTTTTATCAAAAATCAGGGGCACATCAATAACTACTTCTTCTGAAGAATAACTCGACTCCTTTGACCCATTATAGGAAATTTCCACAATATCGTCATGTTCTAGAAAATTATAGGCAAGTTCCAGGTAGAGAGGTGCGCAATTGTAACTCAAATCCGAAAAAGACAAATTAATAGCATACCTGAGGAAGAAGATTGACTCTAACATAAAAAATTATTGGAATAATTCAACACTCACATCCGGGTCGAGCAAGACGAAAGATGGGGGCCTTTGCATCTTAATTTGGTCCCTAAAACATTTGCGCTGAGGCACAACATTTAAACGAACATAAATCTATATTCGCAAAGTGCGAACTCCAGAAAAAAATTAGAAGGATAGATATCAGTAGTCTGTGACTAACTGTAGAACGAACTCGATCAAGCTAACAGAACAGCCTGCAACGTTTAAAAAGACGAACAAGTATCAGATGGTTACCAACTTTTGCAAGAAAATAAACGAAACAGCATCAAATTCAACGCAAGTTAACCAGAAAATATAATAGCTAACAGTTAAGCGATACGAGCTACAATTTTGTGAGGGATACCGGGAGGATATGCCAACCAAGAGTTTTATTCAGAAATATGCATTTGTATAGATCAAAATGTGGTAACTAGGTGCCTTCAACGACTCGAAAGCAACTGCGACTAACAAAGCTTATCTGCAGCCAGCTCGCGACCTTTATAATGTACAGTCAGGATCTGACAGTGACCTTTGGTGACAATACTGATACATTTAAAAACCTATGTATATGTTACGACAATTTTATCCGATAAATTTGGATCTTAACATGGTTTTAAAATAATGTTTTCCACACAAGAATTAAACGCAAATTATTGTGTTGCCATTGTAAACACAACGGAAGTGTATTTGTCGGAATCACTGGGGTCTCTCCTGTTTTCCCTAGCTTCAATATTAAAATTAAGGTTGCAGACCGATGTGACTTCTTTCTAGGTAAGAGATAGAATTAGAGCAAACTGGATGGTACACACTATGAGGTTAAAAAAGGATTTTGCTCTGGCTCAACTCGAAAGTCTACCTACGCGTACATGGACCTGCCCATTTCGGGAGGATTTCCTGTTGATCATTAATTAGTTCCAGGACTAAACACTGATACACTGGTCTAAAATAAATGTTTAACAGGGAAGACTAGATCAACCACACACCCCTATGCAAGCGAATCCACAGCTTTGTCATCTCCGACACCTATACACGCGTGTGGTAAGGCGAACTCCAATGCATATGCCTTCCAGATGACCCACGCCGATGTCGCTTCAGCTGCTAATAGATGGTCCGTCAAATAGAAGGGCAAGGTGTAGCAAAACGCAGGCAGCATTCACAATCTTTGTGTTGGGAAAGATGTGGGGTTTCTCCCTACCAGAATATAAGCTCTGACTCAAGACAGTAAACAGAGGTCAAAATTGGTGAACATCAACGCAGAAGTAATTAAAATAATCGGGTTTGCTTTATGCTGTCACCAGTGTAACGCCTCGAGACTTACCACCGGATAGAAGAAGGCATTAAATTTGGTATGGATTCTAGGTGGCGAAGGAGGGATTAAACCTTGGTTTGGTTCGAAGGTCAGTCCATGTGTACAAGGTCACGTGGAATTCTAAAGTAACCCATAAATAGTTTTAGAGTAGCATGTCGGAAATAGTTTAATCATACACAGAAAACTTAAGGCCTCTGATATAGCCCATCGCCAAAACTGCTAGGGCTGTATATTTGGCAGAAAAAAAAACTGGTCGTCATTTACAGCGTATCATTTATGGACATTGGTTAGACTAAATGTGAACGTTTTGATCAAATGTTTCTGGTTGCTTTTGATCGTTGCAATATTTGGCCTGACTATCGGT